CCTGAACGAGGGTGGGTGGCACGTGGGTGGGTGACACGTTTATGGGTAACTCGTGGTTGGTGATATTCTATATAAAAGGAAAACTTGCGTAAGTGAATGCAACGCTAAACAGTTTAACATAGCTCAAAACCTCAATAGTCCACAACTGGTACGTTACCGAACAGGAAGCGAGGCTGAAACTTGCGTTCGCGTACTCAATCTTAAACCCGTACAGAAACCATGCGCAGTAGTAGAAGCAATAGAAGAACGTAGCTAGTAGTAGAAGCAATATGCGCAATAGAACCCCTGCACACGGTTGCATGTACATATAACCGAACACTTTTTCCGGAAACGCACTGAAAGATAGATGATCAAACTCAAGCAAGAAATCGTGGAAAAAATCCCGAATCGGTAACGCTCGCTGTGATTTTCACAGGCGTAGCGTAGGCGGGTGACGACACGTGCATCGATAGAATGTGTGAAGATTTAGAACGTGGCTCGATCGCTTGCATTGCTTCCCGCTATCGCCTGAATAAGCTGTTAGTGTTTCCGTATACAGATGCGGTGACCTGCACTCGCCCACTGTCCCTTTGTCCGTTCACTTTTCGGTAGTCGGACAGACGAGTCCGCCATCGCGTCGGCAATGAGTCATGAAATCTCGCGAGGGCCTCACGCCATTATCAGCGACAATAACACGAAACCTCAGCTGTGAGCGCTGCCATGATGTTGCCGTTCGTCATTGACCATGCAGGTAATAAAATCTACATTGGTTTGGGGGGAGTGCAATTCTCCCCCTACTTGTCCTCCCGTTAGTTATGGAGCCTGCATTAATAGCGTATAACTTGGCCCGGCCAACCTTAGTGGTCAAGTCTTATAACTCCAGTGAAGTTTCTCAATTATCGTAAAAGAATGAAAAAAGATGGAGAAAGAGAAACATACAAATGAACAGACGTACAGACAGAGTGGCCGTCGAATTGACAATCAAATAGACAGAAAAATAGAAACTCAGACAGACAGGTAGGCAGGCAAGCAGCCAACCAGTCAGCCAGTCAGAGACACACACTCGCACATATACACACACACACACACACACACACGCACGCACGCACGCGCACACGCACACGCACACGCACACGCACACGCACACGCA